TTTTTTTTTTTTTTTTTTTTTAGATATATCTTATTGATTTCAGAGAGAAGGGAGAGGGAGAGAGATAGAAACACCGATGATGAGAGAGTGATTGATTGGCTGCCTCCTGCACGCCCCCCAGTGGGGATGAAGCCCATAGCCTGGGCATGTGTCCTGACTGGGAATGGAACCTTGATCTCCTGGATCATGGGTTGATGCTCAACCACTGAACCCCACTGGCTGGGCTGTTTTTCTCTTTTATTTAGGTTTTCATCACTGAACTATTTCATCACATAAATATTTAAATTAATATAGAAAATAATTATGAATAACTGTGATTAGAGACCCAGATTGTTGAAGATAAAATTAATAAAACAGTTAATTGGTTAGAGCTGATTTATATCACAGATGGAAATGGTTAATCTTTATATAGTTAGCAACCTTAGGACTAAACTAGAACTATTCAGGAAGAGTGTTAGATCATATTTCTCATTAGCTACACTTGGTTTTATAAAAGTAGCTATCTCTTCAAAGTATGGGCTGCCATTCCTTGAATTTGAAAAGTACGTTACCAAATTGGTTGTAGTTCATTGACAATCTAAATGAATTGCACGTATGGCAAGCCCATGGCGTGTTTGGGCTGGACGTACATGTTGCTAGACTTTCCTGAACCTCCAGGTTTGTGAATGATGCTATATGATTTATCTCATTAAATTAAGTATGCTGGATTCAAGATTTGCCAAAATTATCATTCTGTTCTTCAGTTTTCTCAAACGTAGCGTTCCATTCCTTGGTTTATCTACAACTACTTTCAGTCTAGAATGATTATTTTATTTTCAGTACCTGTACTAGCAGTTGATTTATCTGGTATTTTCACACATTCACACACACACACACACACACTCTCACACTTTTTTAGCTTTCACAGTGCTTCCCAAGCCATTCCAGTTGTTTATACTGAAGAAGGTAACATTTTTATGGCACACATAGGTATAAGGATGACACCAATGGATCTGTTAGTGCCCTCAGCCACTGGCCCAGCTGCCTGAGGGTTTAAAGGATCCATAAGTCCCTCACTCATTTGCAACCTACAAGTATTTGGGGACTTAGTGTTTGGAAAGCTCAATACTAGCCAGGTTATTTTGTGTATTACTTCAAGTAAAGGCACAGTAAGTAGACTAAAGAAACAAGCCACACTTACTGATAGATGTGGGGCTTGGCTGGGTTCACTCATTGCCTGAGGCTTTCCTTGAGTTTGCAGCCATGGCCAGCAGAACTGCCTCTGTCTGCCCCTTCAGGGATAGCTCGTGAACAGTGGATGCAGCAGAGGGTTAAACATGTAACATCCAAGGATCTATCTACATTTATGTGATGAAGTACATACATTACCAAAATTCAAGGAAAGGCAGAAACATTTGAATATATTCTTTGTTTAAAGAAAAGATTTGTCCCTCAGGAAGCACTTACCTTCCATCTTTTAAAGTGGTTTATTGTTCACCAGATTTGCACATTGGAATCAGTAGGGCCGCTTTTGTGAAACTCAAGTGCCTCTCACTGCGACTGATTCAGCATTCTGAGAGGTGGCACCATCCTGCCTTAAAAACACTTAGGAAAATTTGAAATTTCTCTTTAATATATTTTCTCACGTTTTGAGCTAGAATGTTGAGTATATAAAGGAAAACCTTAAAAGCCTCATGTGTTGCCCTGGCCAGTGGGCTCATTGGTTAGTGTTGGTCTGCAGGTTTGATTCCCCGTCAAGGGCACATACCTGGGTTGCAGGCTCGATCCCCTGGTAGGGGCACCTGTGGGAGGCAAACAATTGATGTGCTTCTCACATCAATGTTTCTCTCCCCCCACCCCCACCTCCCTGCCACTCTCTCTAAAGACCAATGGGAAAAATATCCTCAGGCAAGGCTTAAAAAACCCCCAAAACCCTCACGTGTTTGGATTATCTCATCATACTCATTTTTTCTCCAGAGAAATAAATGAGCAGATATCAATAAAACACTTTTAAAAATAGAAGAAGAGCCCTGCCGGGCGTGGCTTAGCGGTTGAGCATCGACCTAAGATCCAAGCAATCAGGATTCAATTCCCGGTCAGGGCACATGCCCGGTTGCGGGCTTGATCAGTGACTCTCTCATCATTGATGTTTCTGTCTCTCTCCCTCTCCTTTCCTCTCTCTGAAATCAATAAAGATATATTTAAAAAATAATAATAAAAATAGAAGAAGAAAAAATAATTAAGTAGGACATATAGGAAAACAAATAGGAAAAACAAAAATATAACCTGGGCAAAAACGATACAGAAGTACTAAGGAATCTTTAAAGCACAGCTGTGAGGGATAGGAGACAGTAGAACCAGCACAGCCATGGAAACACGGGTCGAGAACCGTCTTGAAGGCCTCCTGTAGCTGGGACGACGCTCTCCCACAGCCCAGTCAGGGAGCAGGTGGGGTGTAAGGGGTGAGGTGGCCGATGTGCTCTTGCTGAGAATCCTGTGCTCTCCAACTAAAGCTTCCCACTGATAAGCTAGGATTCTTCTAAAAATAGAGATTTAATACAGTGGTTTTCATTTCAAACCCTACCATAGTTTTCTTTTGTTTTCTTTTAGGGTTCAATTAAGGACCAATTAAAAGCATATGGAGCTCTTACTGAGCATGTGACTAGGAAATACACCCGTCAGATTCTGGAGGGTGTCCATTATTTGCACAGTAATATGATTGTTCATAGAGATATCAAAGGTAGGTAATGAGGTATTTTTTATTTTAAGTACACAGTTCTTTTGTGTGTGAATATGAATGAAACGAGTAATATGGTTAAGAAATGTAACATTTAAATTAATACATCTGCCTTGAAAATACCATAGGAAACAGTTCTGCTTTCTCATGGACTCAGTCAGTATTCCAGCTTGTCCTGATGTTCACGTCTCCACAGTGGGCAGCTCCCCTGTGAGATTCACAGATCAGTCAGGTTCAAGTGATCATAAAAACTGAGACCGTGTTTCATGTATGGAGCACAGGCTTAGAGTGTAATGGCTAAGAGAGAGCTCTGACACTAGATGGCCTTGTTCTTGGCTTTATCTGTCATTAATCGCGTGCCTCGCACAAGACACAGAGTCCCTCTCTGCCTCCGTTCTTGTAGTCAACAAGGATGCTGGTAATGCCCAACTCATGGGATTCTCATAAGGATTAAATGAGTTAATCCATATGATATACTTAAAATAGTGTCTGGCATGTAGAAAGCATTCAGAGAGCCATGGTGACAGTGTACTTTATGTCGAGATCATATTTCATTAAAGCCCTTGGAGTGGGTGTTATTACCTGGGGAGAAAGTAAGAGGGAGGAAGAGAGCCTAAAACTGAGCTGTGGTGAACTTCACCGCAGTTAAGCTTACTTTTTAAAACTCAGCTGTTTTCAGGGATCAGGTATGTAAGGTAAATGCATGAAGTGAGACAGAGGTGAGTGGTGATGTGTAAAATTTGAGGGTGCTTAAAATCCTGTACTGCAAAGCATACCTGGAGGTTTGAGTCTATAAAAACTGAAGTTTGGTTCCATAAATATTGGGTTGTGACCCCAAATTAAACGATGACTCCATTCAGTCAACTGATAACAATAATAAATATACACATATAAAAATAATAAAATACATTTTTATTGGTCTTCCTGAGGGCTCTTACGAGCTGCCAGGTATTGACAGCCTTCCTGTGGTGACCACATCTGAACATGGCCATGTTTAGGCTGAAGAGACACCTCTGACCAGTGTCTGATAATGTGGTAGAATCTGCTGCAGGTGCCGAGCCAGATCCTGTGCACGAGAGGAGCTACTAGTGAGCCAGAGAATGAGGAGGCTCGTGATTAAAAGAAATAGGAGCCTGTCTTTCATTTCAAGACCCACCCAGCTTAGGCAGACCTCAGTTGTCAAGTACAAAAGCTGATAGCTTAAGGAAGCACATAGGGAAATTATTCTATAAGGAATGATCTCTGTTCAAGCCAGTCTCTCTTTAGTAATCATGCTGAGACAAGGTAAAGGAACCAAGGGGAGCTATTGCCATGTGGACCTTGCCAGAAGGAGTGACGAACCATATTGGTAAAATGAGGAGGTTAGAAACAAGCTGATTTAAAATCATTATAGGGCAAATATATTGACAGGAGGAAAGGTATAAAATTAGATGGGCAAATGGTTACAAGTTTGTAAAATAAAAGTATAACCTAGAAGAAAAATTTTCATATGATTAACAGTGGTTATTTCCAAATGGCAGGGTGAGTGATAATTTTCTTTGGCAGAGTTTTTACTTTTTCTCTATTTCGCAAATTTTATGAGAAATTTTTACATTGTAAGGGAAAAAGAAAGATAGTTGATGACTTTTAAGTTTAAACCTGTGAGTTTATGGGTTTATGAAACAGGCTAACAACTAATTGATCCTTATTGCTAAGGAATGAACTCATTTCACAGCAGATTCCTTTATTCTGCCTTTCTTTTACTAATTACACCATTGAGGACCACACAGTGGATGAAACGAAACTTGTCTTTATAGAAGTATTTTGACTAACAAATGAAGAAGGAATGATGGAATAGTGCCAATTTACAGCCGGTAATGAATTAGTAGGTATAAGCATTAAACATGAACAGCTGCTGACACCTAAAACAGAGACAGTTGAGCATGACATACTTCCTATCACTTGGACTACATTATCATATCTATGAAGTAGTTTTGCAAAAAAAAGGAGAAAAGAATCTGAGTCTGATCAAGCCTCTAGATTCAGCTGCCAAATTTTAGAATTATAGAACATATCTATCAGACAGATGAACATGTTAAATATGATGCCTTGGGATGGAGTCAGCAAAACCTAGACAGTGGGAAAGCTACAGGCAAACAACTTAGATTCCTCATAAATTGCAAAGGAAAAAGACTAGAGGGAGCTTTCGATTGGGAAAGACTTAAAAGATATATTGAGTCTCAGTGTATGGAACTTCCTTGGCTTCTGATTTTTACAAAACTGTAAAAACCACTGAGTATATATTTAACATTATTAAGGAGTTGTTATCCATCCTGTTAGGTGTAATAAGAGTCATTATCTTTTAAAGCTATGTATTGAATTGTTGATCGTGATGTCTTGAATTTGTTTCAAATAATATAAGATGGGAGAGGGAGTGGCTGGCAGCACAGTTGGGGAAGATTTCCAGATGGTTGTTGGGGTTTGGAGATGGGTATGTATACTATTCTGATTTTGTGTGTGTTTGAAAAATCTCCTTAATAGTTTGCTTTTAAGGTATCCAAAATAAGTTTTGAAAACTTAGGAGTCTATATTGGGAACATGACTACACGTTTTCTACCCAGCCCTTTGTATGGATGGGCATTGATTCAACCTTGGTGATTACTCCTCAGAGATAGCTCTCCCTGTCTGTGATCTGCCTGGGACTGTGCCTGCCCAGCTTGTAGCTAGTAAAATCTGGCTTGTTTGTTGTCCTTCCCCTGGTTAAATATTTTAGAGATAGTGGCTTTATGACCGAGCCCTCTTTACATGATGCAGAGTGAGATGTTCAACAGGGTAGACAGTGCTGTTCTACAGAATCACCTGTATGTGTCTCACTTGGGCTTCTGGCATGCAGAGAATGCATCCTATCCCCCCTGCAGAGAGGCTGTGGAGAGCCCCATCCACTAGGCTGGGCATTTGCTGGGAGAACACAAAGACAAGTACAGAAGCTCACAGTGGGAATGCACAGGATACATTCTCTCCTGTCCAAATGTAGCTTTCCTCCACTATTCACTGTCCTTAGAGGCCATTAAAAAAAAAGAATAAGAGAATAAGGATTTTTAAAAATATAAAACATGGTTAAGCCCTGGCCAGTGTGGCTCAATTTGTTGAGCGTCATTCCATACACTGAAAGGTCACCGGTTCGATTCCTGGTCAGGGCACATGCCCAGGTTGTGGGTTCGATCCCCAGTCAGGGTGTGTATGGGATCAGTGTTTCTCTCTCCCTCTCTCTCAAAAATCAATAAAAAAAATATTTACAAGGCCTTTCATCATTTCCCCTCACTCAAAAAAATACATAGTTAAGGTTACAGGAGACTTAAAAATAACAAAGTAGCCCTGGCCGCTGTGGCTCAGTTGAGTGTCATCCCATGCACCACAGGGTTGCTGGTTCAGTTCTAGGTCAGGGCACATGCTTGGGTTGCAGACCTGGGGGGCCTGCAGGAGGCAGCTGATCCATGTTCCACTCTCACATTGATGTTTCTATCTCTCTCTCCCTCTCCTTTCCTCTCTCTGAAATCAATAAAGATATATTTTTAAAAATTAAAAAATAAACCTGTGGTGACCCCCCCAAAAAAGATTATACACAGATAGCTTTATTTTCAAGAAAGAAAAATAAGTAAAATGGATATAATATTAATGAATTTATCTCATTTTCTATGGACAAGTAAAATGAAAATGATCATAGGGAATTTGCTAAAAGGATGTGTTTATTTACACATAAAAAAATACTTATCAATGAGTTAAGACCAAAGTAAGCTCTATTTTAATGCAGGACTGCCCATGTATTATAAGAATCATATATTAGACTTGAAGGAATAAATTAAAAAATTAGATAAATTGCTTATTTAAAAACAGGTAGTTTATAGAAAAAGCTAAAAATGAGAATAGAAATAATTTACATAAGATAGAAACAAGACTTATAATCCCAGAAAAGAAGATTGAGTTTTAAAATGACAAATAAAGGGGAAAATAGAAAATAAAAAATAAATGAACTGAGCATCTGAATCATGGTCTCTGATATCATTAAAAGTAACCAGGCTCCTTGGAGAGATGTCTGACTCTAGGACTTGAGCAGGAAATATACAGGTAGAACCTGGAGCATCTAATAATGCCTGAAAGTAAGAAGATGCTAAAACCACCCCCAAACCAAAAACAGACAAGAACACAATGATGGGGTTGTGACAAAGGAACACAGGAGCCAATAGAAAGAGTTCGCAATGGCCAAAGCTGGAACAGTGTGAGCAAAAAAAAGTCACATTGGTTTATACCCCAAAGTATAAAATAAATATCCATGTGTTCATACTGATGCAAACAAATGGTCGAATAAATAAATGAGAGAGAGAAGACAAATCTCTTGTGCAGAATAATTCCAAATAATTGATGTATCTACTCAGCCTGGAGTGTTAACTCCTGCCTCCTTCGCTGTGGGCTGCGCACGGTGAGCCCTTCACAGAGTGTAGTGGGGGGGAGGGGGGAAGACACTTAACAATGGAGAATTCAACAAATTACCTCAAGCCAGGCAGTCAGTCTATTTATAATAAACTAAGTTTGTTATAAAAGTAAATGAAATTTTAAAACAGAAAGCTCTAAGAGAGCTTAGAAAAGATTTAAAATATATAGAAATTGAGAAGTAAAATTAATATAAAGCAAAACCCAATACTTAGAAAAACTATAAAATGTCAGGTAACTAACATTATGTTATATAGCAGGAGAAAAACATGCTAGAAGTTTTGATTATGAGGGTGCCTCAGGAACATTTTTCTTCTCAGGGAAATAAGCTTCAGCCACGAGCCTCTTGCTCTGTGACAGAGAAACCAGGCCCAAGAGCTCGCCGTTGCTTTCCATCCTGCTCTGGGCCCTTCCCCTTTCTCTTTCCCCCTCCCCTCCCTCCGCATCAGTGCTTTTCAATGGGAGAACCTTCCTCTTAGGTTTTAAAGCACACGCTTGACTAAAAATTTAGAATTTGTCTTGTAAATCCTGAATGCGCACTGTGTGACTGGCATTGCAACAGGTACTGTTTGGAAGATGAAAGTCAGCCCTTTTGGAGACACATTCAAAAGTCTGCTAAGTTTAATTCTCTGCTGCTGCTCTTTTATATTACATTCCAAACTGGCAATAAAGATAATGAAATAAGGATGTTTCTTATTTTTAGGTGCAAATATTCTGCGAGATTCAACTGGCAACGTCAAACTAGGAGATTTTGGGGCCAGCAAACGGCTTCAAACCATCTGTCTTTCGGGGACAGGAATGAAGTCTGTCACAGGCACGCCCTACTGGATGAGCCCGGAAGTGATCAGTGGAGAAGGCTATGGCAGGAAAGCAGACATCTGGTAGGCTAGATGCGGGGTTTGCCTGAAACACCTGCCTCACTTATTTCCACCAGGATGGAAATTACTGAGCCAGATTTCAATTAGCTTTTGTACTTTTGAAATAGGATGTCAGGATTACAAGGATGAATATTTTAATATGCCTCTTGGAAACGTAATTATTGACTAAACAGACTTCTTGAACCCGTCTTCGTTTCTTTATGAAGGATTTTATCTTAAGCAATTTCAACATCAGAAAACTATTTTTCATTTCCCTGAAGAACTTTAAAAGTAATTAATTTTATTGTTAGTCTCTTATAATTCAGTTATTCTTTAATTGCTTAGTCATTTTAAGCTAGAACATAAAATGGCCATTTCCTACTTCCTGTCAGAAAAGTTTTTAATAGGTGCTCATTTTAGGCACCTAAAAGCAAACAAAGGATTTTTAATATTTGTATTTATAAAATAAAGGCCAAAAAATTATACTTAATGTCAGTTTAGAGAATTACATAAAGCAAAAATTACAAAACGAGTAATGCTTTATGCTTAACCATTGAGTCAGTCCTTAAATTGTGGCTTATTTTCATTGATTCTTATGTTTAAATTATGTTATATATATTTATAACCTTTTGATGAAACTAAACTTGAAATCGAGTCATACATGCATATGGACTTCACTCCGTTTCTCATTTTGTAGTTAACTGTCTCTTTCGTGACGGCATCATTTGTGTGACGTAATTGAAATCTCTCTCTAGGAGCGTGGGCTGCACTGTGGTAGAAATGCTGACCGAAAAACCGCCTTGGGCAGAGTATGAAGCAATGGCTGCCATCTTTAAAATCGCCACTCAGCCAACAAACCCAAAGCTGCCACCGCACGTCTCGGACTACACTCGCGATTTCCTCAAACGGATCTTTATAGAGGCCAAACTGAGACCTTCAGCGGGTGAACTCCTAAGGCACGTGTTTGTGCACTGTCATTAGCAGCTAGCATCCTCTCCTGTGCCTCTGCCTGGCTCCCATCGGTTCAGTCACCTTCTCTCTGACTGCACTTTTCTTTTTTATAAAAAAGAGATGGGGGAGAAAAAAAGACAAGAGGGAAAGTGTTTCTCTTGATTCTTGGTTAAATTTGTTTAATAATAGTAACCTAAATTTTTTATATTTAATCTTTTTTTCCCCTTACAAGAACTTGAAACTTTTTTTTTTAATTTTTATAATGTACTGATGTGGTTCAGAGATTGTAAAGCACTTTAGTACAGGGCCACTCTTTCTCGTACAACAGATCATTTGGAATACCTAGAGACTGTAGTCTTCCTCTGTGTCACTGACAGACTGGTGGTGATGGAGAGACCTGGAAAACAAGAAGAGAATGATATGTACTTTGTAGTTTTTAATGATAGTATTTAAAATAGATTCTCATTTGTGGGTTTGAGCCCTAAACTTGAGTTTAGAGTGGGTACACAACTTAAAGAATATAGGTTCCTTCTTATATCTGTATTCTTTAGATCCCAACCTCTGTATACCAAGCTTTTTGCTCAGTAGGAATCTTGACAGAAAAAATGAATTTCCAGGAGGTATGTTTATTTGTTAATCCTAACCAGTGTAATAAGCAAATACACTATAAAAGGTCCATGTTAGTGGAGTCTATAAACCTTGTGGGATAGCTTTCTGTTTTAAAAAAAAGATACTATTTTATTTTAAAACAGATATGGGAAGTCAATGAGCAAATCCAAATTAAATGACAAAAGGAGGTTGCTTTAATTAAGTGTGTGAGCAGTAGAAGAGACCACGTTTGCCAATCAACAGAAATAATGAAAAACAGAACTAAGTGTTGTTTAGTGTATTTTAAACTGTGTTCTTTACGTGAGGGAAAAAGTCCAAAATTAAGAGAATGGAGAAATAATCAAAATAATGTATATCTTCCTATTTCTAGCTCCTGATTCCCCATAGGTAACATTTCTTAGGAACTAAGAGTTTAACCTTAGTTAAACTTAGAGTGTCCATGAAGCTAGTGTCATGAGATAAAACCCTTGTTCTTGTGATCACAGAATACTAAAGCACCTCAAAAAACAGAAAAACAGTGGTTCTCAGGGTGGGGTAGGGCTAAGTTTCTCTTGGCATTTGGCAGTGCCTGGAGAGGGTTTTGGTTGTCACAACTTAGGTGGATGCTAGTGGCATCTGGTGAGTGGAGGCCAGGGGTGCTGCTAAACAAACCACAGTGTGTAAGGCCAGCACCTCCTGCCCACAAAAAGCATCCTGCTCAAAGTGTCAGAGTGCCAAAGTTAAGAAGCCCTGTGGTAAAGATCAACTTCTGTTACAAACTGATAACAGCCCTTGACAAAGCAGGTTCCTTACAAAAAGTAACCTTCAGAGAGAAAGTGATGTAATGCAGGATGCGTGTCTCACAAGAGCAGACGCCACTGCTTCAAGTCGGGCGAGTGATCTCAGCACATTAGCAGTCCGTCCTTACCAGCTGCACAGTGCACCCAAGTCAGGAGCTCCCGTTTTAGAAGCAAAATGAATTTAAACAGAGCTTATTGAACTCAGCTGCCTGTATATATTCTTTCCTCAATCAGTTTATAGTTGTGGGAGAAGAAAAGCATATCAAGACAAGTGTTAACTACTTTATAGGAAGGTTGAAACTGCCAGGTATTTCTAGTGTTATGTGCACACCAAGAGGAAGGACGGTGACTGGGGAATTCCACTGTATCTCATGGAGTTGTGCTGCTGAAAAATATGAATGATATCAGCAATGTGGCCGCTTGTAATGTTTTTCAGTATATTGCAGCAAGTGCTAAGTACTTTATTTTTAAAGGTCTAGAAAACAGTAGTCCTCCTGGAGGCCCTCAATGTGATGCCTTTAATGGGGGACTCAGGTATTTTATTTTCTGCTAAAAAGTATGATCTTTAGGGACTCAGCTGTTTGTATCAAGGCTCCCATCTGCCATTCCCTGTAGGAAATTTGGGATTTCACCGGCTAGCCTGAGAAGAAGTCAGAGCACAAAGATCCCCCCACATCCTATAATCAAAGGCAGCGCCTCACCAGGAAGAATATAAGTCTGTGGTCCCTTGCCTGAAAATCAGTGGTCAAATCCTGTGCTGTAAACATAGTCCCCAAGGATATGGATCTGTTATTTTCTTATCTTTTCTAAGTGAAGGCATCTCTTCTACTTGAGCAAGATCATAGTATCTGGACCAATGGGCTTTTCCTCTGTTTCTTTGTCTTGTGTGTTTGTGATTTGCTCCTGGCTCATTTTTGATCTGTCAGGGTAGCCAGAGGTGCAGAGCATGAGACAAACGGCCTTTAGGGAGAGATCTTGGGAGACTGAAACCCAAAGCAAAACTCTTTGCTTTTTTTCAGTCTCTCTTTTATTTTTAAGTGCTCTAGAAAGTAAGTCACCTGAAAAGAAACTACTGCTTAGACACTGCTGCAGGAGACCTTTGTTTTATAGGAAAATATTATTAGCTATGGGAAAATACTGTTCTGTATGTAAAGACTTAAAAATAGACTGGTAGTTTACAGAGTTATTATATAAAATGTGATGTGAATTTATTTTAAACAAGTTGTAAAGGTACCAAAACCACAAGAAAAGTTAATATATATAAAAGCTACTAGAACAAAAAAGCTGGAAGTGGGATGAGGTGTGGAAGACAAAAGTAAATGTAAGAAAGAAGACTTTGAAACAGAACACCGTTATTTGGGGCAGTTAAATATAACACTCCACCTTTTTCTCTCTCTCTAATGTATGGATCAACAAATGAAATTTGAACTTTTTAAAATGACTCTAAATGTATTTTGTTTTTTAAATGCACAACTGATTCTTCTATACTGTCACGTTCCTTTGCTGAGGCTTGAAGTGGTCAGACTGCTGGCTTGTGCCTTCACAATGCGTTCTGCGTGGACCGCGGCCGACTTTGGTGCTGGAGAAGATTCGCTGGCAGTCTTACCTGTGCTTTTCAGGAAGTACCTTTCTACTTAGGCCTTGAGAGAGTCAGAATGGCATGACATAGGTTGGGCCCAAAACAAGATCTTTTACATTGCAAACAAAGTGTGCTGAATAAAAGGCTTGAAAAATACGACTGATGAACATTTTGATCGTAATTCTTTAAAATGTGTTTAAAAATATACAGACTGAAATTTTCAGTATGAATATCTTGAAAAATCTTCCATTTTCTCATTTACAAAACATGTCTCTAACCTGAAAAAATGGTTAAGGACTGTTGCCTTAGAAAGTTTTCAAAGACATCATCAGCCCTACATATTTACGATGCACAGGCTGAACTACAAAAAATTAAAACTCATTTTAGAGTAACTTGAATTGGCTTTCTCTTCAGAGTCTTTATCTCATTTTCAGTAGAAACTACATGAAAAGTGAAATTACTTGTTTAGGGTAACTTTCGGCTGCTCTACCTCTTACCTGTCAGATCTGGTCGGTGGTGTTTCTGAGGTGGAGTTGTGATAAGGTGCATGAGGTCATTAAGAAAATCAGATCTGAATAGTTTATAGGCATGACCAGGCTTGGGTTCAGAAGCCAAGATGTTGCCACATGCACACTCCTTGGTCTACTGCACAGTTCTGAGCCAGGGTTTCATCTGGAGGCCAGGGACCAATAGCTTGCATATAAAATCACCTGATGTCAATCAGTTATAGTAATCTATCAATTTTTAAAAATAGGGTGAATCTTTTTTATTTGTTTATTCAATAATTATGGCTTATTGTGTCAGGTACTAAATTAACTTACAGAGGCCACTGTCTAAGGAGGAAACATGGCAAACAAGACCCCAAGTGAAAGTTCAGCAATGATGTTCTAAATTCTTACTATTTTTTGTGATGTACGGAGATAGCAATTTTGGGTAATTATTAGTGTTATAAACTAAAATATCATTAACAACATGGATTAAAAGTATTCCCAAATTAGAGAGACCTCCCTTTGGCCAAGCAGCCTCTCTCTCTTGGGACACCCTCTTATAAAACCCAGCCTCTGCTCAAACAGTTCCAGCAGTGGAGGGCATTTATTCCACAACATGGTGGTTTTTCCTTGTTTCTTTTAAAGAAAAAAATACTTTATTTTGGTCTAAATTGTTAAAATACCTAAAACATTTGCTGGAAATTGAATTCTGTCAACAGTGTTATTTATGCTAAGATCAGGACAGTTTCTTGAGACCTTACTGTTTTCTGTTAAGTTTGACTTTTGTTACAAATGTAATGTTCATATTTATTTGAATTTTAAGATTGGTTAAAGGTTAATGAAAGGCAATTTAATTGTTAATTTTTGGTAGTGCCTTTTACTCTGTATGCCTTAATTTTATTTTATATCAGTAATTCACATTATCCATGGAATTGAAGTTTCCCCCCAAAATCAGTAGTTTCAAGAGTTGATTTGGCCTTAGACTGTGTATTGGCCCTTAAATATTTCTTAATGCCTGTTTCCTCCTCCTACCCTTTTCTACCTCTTTTTTCAAATGTTAGAAGACAAACATTAGCATTAGTCTGTGATAGACAGACTGCAGTGTCCCCGTGAACTGAGATACGGAGAGAGGTGTTCTCATTCTAAAGAGACACACAGTAAACTCTTTTCCAGGCGGGCTACTTGATTTTCAATCACATTGACACTGCCCAGATTCTTGGTATATCATGGTTCAGTTACAATTATCAGCAGAGGTAGAATGGCTGTTTGGCCCTAAAGAGGTTGTTTAAATGGTTTACAAATGTTAAGGCAATGAGACTTAGGGCAACGAGCAAGAAATCCAGGGGTAGCGAATTCTCTGTAACATTGTGACGAGAACTCTTACTTTTCTGTGAAGTGTGTGTGTATGTGTGCGTGTGTGTGTGTGCGTGTGTGTGCGTGCGCGCACACACGCAGTGGAGCAGGGATGGGAAGAGAGGCAAAGAATGAATGTTCAGTTAGATTAGCTTCTGTTCTTGGAGGAACAACTCCAGTGTGTATGACCTGCTGATGGTGAGTGAGTGTATTTGTCCTCGGGTAGGAATGCCAGCACATTTTCCACAAGTAACTAGTGCAAGTGATTGTTTAATAAGGTATTTATTGTAAGTTGCCAAGCTGTTGGTTGCTAAAAATAGATTAAAAATGAATTTGTATGTGTGTGAATAGCTTATATATAATCCTTAGATAGGAAGTAATTGATCTTGCGTGTTCTTCATGAAATCTTTGGGACAGAAATTCTGCCAGACATTGTCAAAACAAGTTTCCTTAGCTTGTGAAACGTCCAAAAGGAAATTTCCTTACACCTCTTTGGTTGCCTGGGGAGCACATGCTGTGAAGCCCCTGCTCCCACTTCACAGTGGTCTTCAGCTTTGCTTGACTTCCGCCTGAGTTGTGGACAGGATGCCATGGCAGGTGTGGGGAGTGCCAGAGCCAGCCGTTTCCTGCTCGCGCCTCAGCGCTGTAAATGTCAGGAGCCCTCGAGAGTCTGGAGGGCCTTCTCAGTGATGGTGAGAGTGGACATGATCTGGTTTCAGGAGGTTGAGGGAGGAGTCCTCGCTACCGTAAAGAAAAGAATGCATCTTATCTGTTTCCTGCATGCAGTCTTTTATGTAATTTTTCATGTTTTTCATACTTCTGCATTTTAATTGACAGTAATGTATTTGTTAATCACAGCAAAGGCATTACATCGGTGAGTCCTGTTACTTCCTGTGCCTCATCACTGTTGTTTGCATTCACAATTGGTGTTATCAGAATCGCTTTAAACCAAAGCTTTTATATTCCTCGCACACATTGCCAAAATGATTCACACTGTTACTTCTGCCCACCTTTAAGCTAATAGGATAAAACTGATCAAGTAGATACTAGTAGAATTTGTATCTGACCTCTCCTTCAGGTAAAAGGAGAGGTGCTCCGTGTTTGCATTTAGACATGCAGAATTGACTTCAGCTATTACAGAACTACATAGACGTTACAAGCCTGAGCTATACACGTGCCAGTATTGTTAACATCAGCGACCATGGACACTGACTCATGATGCCTCAGATTGGAAGTGTGCTTTCTTCTAGTGTCTTAACATTTAGGAACTTATGATTGACTTGAGGGGCATTTCAGGAAAGCTGTGAAGAAAAGTAAATTATAGGCATTTTGGAGCCTAAGGAGGAGTCTGCATCCCAATATGCATGCAGAATTTGTCCACAGTAAGGATATCTGAGTCTCTTCATGACAGTTGAAAACAGTAAAGTTTGTGACTATACTGAACAGCACTTTTATGCTCATTATTATTTTTTTAGAATTTTGTTTTTTAACTAGTGGTGATTTTAGCATTAGCATTACTTGGTGGGGAGAGATAAGTAACAAAATTACATCATAAACTCTAGTAGGTACTTAGACTCCAAACCATTTGGACATATTCTAATTTTTCCAAAGACTTTTTCCCACCTGGAATATGGAGGGAAGACCAGTGGAAACACTGAGCTAAAAAGATTAACGGGCAAAAGAATGGGCTTGTGGGCCAAACCCCTGCAATATACCCTGTTCAAGCAAAATGTGATGTCTGAGGGTAAGAATACTTCTTTAAAAACAAATGATTGTTTCTAATACAATGTTAATTAGTAAAGGTTTACATTTTTTCTATTGCTGTTGGTTTTAAAATTTGCTGCATTCAGAAATATTACAAAAGTTAATACCAGAAATACTTTTAATGTTGGACATCTCTTACATTTCACATGGTTCTTTTTATTCAAATATCATTGTAAATAAAAGTAAACTTGGATAAATTTGAGAATAGACTTCAATTGTTGCAAACTATGATTATCAATTTGTAAATTACCTTTTGACCTAATGTACATTTTTTAATATAGCCATTAAATTTTTTTTATTTAACCTATTAGTTTCTGTCTGTAAACATTTTTAATCTCAGTTGAATGCTGGGCAGTTTATAATTATGTACAAAGGTGTTTTTTCCCTATCAAGGTTGACTTTTGCACATTTTTGGAAGTGTTTAGTTTGTACACTGATGTACTGCTTTGCCCAGTGCTTGGTGTGTGTGAGCATCGTGACTGTGTGCACTGAACTACTGCCCCCGCCTCTGCGTTTGAGCTTCTCTCAAGATGTAGCCGTCGTAGCTGCACTGCTGTTACAGACTTAAACGGACCTTACTTCTTTTACAAAGTATTCTTATCTATGGTCCTGTCTTTGTTGAAGAACTCAGGAGTTCAACATCACTTTCTGATTTTATATGTATTTTAAAATCCATGGCTAAGTTGAAAGTATGCTTGTAACTCTGTATCAAGGGATGTGTGTGGAGATGTCTCTGTCTGTAGGCACATTTATATATTACAGTAACTTCTTATTTTCATTTTATTTCTACATTTTTACAAACTTGTTTTATATAAGGATACTGTTTAGTTAGAATTAAATATATATAAAAGCTTTCTGAGAGATTATTTACTATATGAATATATTTTCAGCTGGCTGATCAAAAATATTTTTTAAATTTTGTTTTTAACCATTCAAAATATGTTTGTATTTCCAGACTTAGACACAACTTTACTTAGATATCATTAAAATACTCTTGCAGGGAATAGCATTGAATTTTTTGAGAATTCTCTGAAATGCAAATTAAGAGGAAAAATAAGTTTTAAACAGTAGCAAAACACACTGCCCACTAAAATGGCCTTTGAATTTTCAGAGCTATGAAAAAAATGCGAGAAGCTAAATTGTCTTGAAGATGCCAAGATTTTTCTATCTCCAGTTTCTTTGGCTGGTCCTACTGTTGTTTTTGACTGTTTCCTTTATTCTACCCTAAAGATTTCAACTTTTAGTTTTTTTCTTACTGGGCAAGGTCAGACTTCGTTTATGATTCTCTGCAATTGACTATAAATTGGTTTAGAAATGTCCAAACATACATTGAGTGTCTTTATACTGTACTGCGTATGTTAAGTAACTGGCAGAAAAACTAAATTTGCAATATGACAATGTTATTGTACTTAAGGAAATCCCCTTTTTTTAATATGCAGTACCACGTAAAATTACTTGTGTTAGGAGTAAAGTCCCTGTTGAAGCTGAGCGTCACTAGGCGTGTTGCGTTGCAAGGAGCCAGTGTGAGTAAGGCCTCCCGGGAGCCAGGTGCAGTGGGTGTGCCACATTTCATGCGTGGTTTGACTCTGTGTTCACTGAAAGTCGTGCTTGTAAAAATGTATAAAATTTTTGAGTTTTACAGATTTTATGTATTTGTTTTTCTTGCTGGTAAATAGCTTTTAAAAAATCTAATGTGAAAGAAACCATGTTTATATTTTGTTAGCGGTCAGTGACTCTGTTTATATGGAAATTTGTATATTGTTGGCACACATCTTTGTTCAGATTTATCATGCATGAAGGCCTGCAATAATTAGCACAATGAAAATGGCTTTTTTTTTTTTTTTACGTTAGTTCATTTGAAAGATTGTGGTGCAAAGGGTTACTCCGAGAAACCTGGAGTATGGACTATAAATGATGGCACTTTGAGTGTTAATAAAGCTGATATTTATTTCCACTGTGGCTGGTTTGTCCCGATCTGTTCTTGGACATACTGTGTTCCCAGCTGCCTGTCCTGTGCCCGAGCCTGTCACTTTTTAGGAGACCAAGCACAGACTAACCTAGAAACATTGCAACCACGTCTTCCCAGGACATAAATCTGTAATGTCCTACCCAGCATGCTCTGGCGTATGTTTTCTCTGGACACTTGACTACTCAAATCAGAAATTAGCAGTGATTAAGAGCAGCATAAAGCAAAATAAGCGAGGCAGAGAAAGGCAGACATCACATGATCTCAAATGTGGAATCTAAAGAACTTAAACTGATGAACAGAATAGATTCAATGACATGGAAACAGAGATCAGACTGACGAATGTCAGAGGGATGGAGGAGGGCGGGTGGAGGGGGAGAGAGTAACCAAAGCATTTATGTGCATCTATGCACAACCCAAGGACACGGACAATGGTGGGGAGACGGACTGGGGAGGGGGGTGGGACCGGGTGGAATGGGGAGAAAAAGGGGCATCTGTAATGTTTTAAACAAAAATTTTAAAAAGCAGCATAAGCAAAGCCCTGCCTTCGAATCCGACGGGTTGTTCGTAGCTTCACGACCCAACAGCAGTGCAAGGGCACAGGACTCTTTATAACCGCTCCTAAGCTCTCAACTGAACTTCTCTCTTAAAAACAAGGTACATTTTTTAAAATAGCACGAACAAAGCCTACTTAGTCAAGGTGTAAGGAATGGGTGTTCCCACAGTATTGGATGTCATTTAAATCAGTACTTCCCTCTAGAGGGCAATTTAGCAATGCAAGTCAAAAGCCTCAGAGTCTTGTATATTTTCTGACCCAGCAACTTTGTATCTAGGAATTCTGTGGTAAGATAATGTGCTAAAATACAGCTATAAAATCCCCAAATTGAGGCCTTGTCCAAGAATGGTGGCTTATGACTTCAGAAATTTGTCTCGGCTCTGGAGGCTGGAAGTTCGAAATGTTGCACAGCCAGGCCTCCTGTTGAAGGGCAGGAAATCTTCCCCTGCTGTTCCCTAGCTCCTGGTAGCCCTGGGCTCTCCTTGGCTCGAGGTAGCAACTGCAGTCTCTGCCTTCTGTCTCCCAGGCTGTTCTCCCTCTGTGTGCGTTTCCCATTTTTATAAGGACACCAGTCCTATTGGATTAGGGCCCACCCTGAGGACCTCATTTTAACGTGATTACCTCTAAAAGCCCTGTTTCCAAATAATGTCATTCTGAAGAACTGGAGGTTAGGACATCAAAATACGTTTTTCGAGGGAACACAAACCCATTATAGTCTGTTCTGTGGCCCCTAAAAATTCATACTCTAACCACATGCAAAATACACTCACCCCATCCTACCATATCTGTCTTAATCATTCCAGTATCCATGCTAAGTCCAATATTTCATCTAAACATCAACTCAAATCACCACCATCTAAATCATTCATATCAATTATGGGTTAGACTTGGTGTATGATTTCATGCTGGAGCAAAAGTCTTTTTCCTCTGTGAACCTATCAAACCAGACTACTTACCTGCTTTCAAGGGGGACAGATGGAAGACAGACATTTCTGTTTTAGAAGGGAGAGATCTAAAGGGAAAAAGGCCTGGGTCCCGAGCAAGGCTGAAACCTAGCAGCCAGCAGACTTCATTCCACTTTAAGACGAGGAAAATCCTCATTGGCTCCATGCTGTGTCCTCAGGAGCCCACCGGAGTGGTGATATTGCTCCCTCATAACCAAGGAGATGTCTCGAAGTCGTTGGGCCTGCACCCTGTGCCTGTGCCTTCCCAGCCCATGGTGGCAGCAGCCCTGCTGGCCTCTGAACTGCCTTCAAGTCACTGTTCCCTTTTTAATAATAAAAAAAAATTTTTTTAATGTATTTTTATTGATTTCAGAGAGAGGAAGGGAGAGGGAGAGAGATAGAAACATCAATGATGAGAGAGTCATTGATCGGCTGCCTCCTGCACGCCCTCGACTGGGGATGGAGCCCGTAACCCGGGCCTGTGCCCTGATGGGGAATCGAACCCCGATCTCCTGGATCCTAGGCTGATGCTCAACCGCTGAGCCCTGCCGGGCCGGACACTGTTCCCTTTTCTTGAAGTAGAGCATGTTAGCAGCCGAAGAGCTCTCTCGGGCCCTTTCCTGCCCATAGAATTCCAGAAGTCTGGCAGCCCTCCTTCATTTAGTTCCATCTCTGTGCCCTTCCAAGTTGGCAGGGTTGCTGGGAAACAGTTAATTGCACCCATAAATTACAAGCCTGATCTCTTTAGCAACTAGCCGCCCAGCCGCACACCCTGCTGTTCTCTCCAGAGCATACTTTCTCATTATTTGTAGCATGATTACGATAAGAATTTCCAAAATCTTCAAATTCTGGTTCCTTTTTGCTTAACAACACTTCTTTCTTCCATTTATCTCTTTCTCACATGTGATTATTAGTAGGAGAAACCAGGCTAAGCCTTCAACTTGTGCTTCGAAGTTTTTTCAGCTAAATAACCAATTTCATCACAAGTTCTTTCCACCCAACAGAACAGTTTAGCTAAGTTCTCTGCCACTTTATAACAAGGGCAACTTTTCCTCTAGTTTCCAGTAACATCTCTCATGCCCACCTGAGCGCTCAGCAGAATCACCTTTAATACCCATGTTTCTAGCAACAGTCTCTTAAGGCAACCTAGGCTTTTCTGATTTATCATGCATCTCAAAATTCGTCCAGTCTCTACCCATTACCCAGTTTCTAAGCCACTTCACCACGTTTTTAGATATTTGTTACAGCAGTACCTCATTTTCATTTAACAAAATCTGTGCGAGCGTTCTCCAGAGAGGCAGTGTTTTTGAGTTGCACTCCAGAGGCAGCATTTTTGTTTTCCTTGGGAAACTTGTCTTTGCTCGTAAGGCCTTCAACTGATTGGACAAGGCTCACCCACGTTACTGAGGGTATTCTGCTTTACTTAAGAGTCTGCTGATTGTAAATGTTAATTATATCTAAAAAATACCTTAATAGTAGCCTCACAATTGGTGTTTGACAAAACATCGGAATACCATAGTCTAGCCAAGTTGACCATCACAGGAATTAAGCAAATAAATTGTAGGAAATCCATATAATGGAACTCTTACATTATTGATTAAAAGAGAGCAAGTTGGCCCAGCTGGTGTTGCTCAGTGTTGAGCATCAACCTATGAATCAGGAGGTCACAGTTCAATTCCCTGTCAGGGCACATGCCCAAGTTTTGGGCTTGATCCTCAGTAGGGGGCATGCAAAAGGCAGCAGATCAATGACTCTCTCTCACGGATGTTTCTCTCTCTCTCTCTCTCCCTCCTCTCTTTGAAATCAATGAAAAAATATTAAAAGACAGAGAGAGCAAGTTACCTGAGATGTATACTATGATCCCACTTTTGTTTAAAAATAGAAAAATATTGGGGTGTCACTCAAGTGGTTGGTGGAGTCATAAGTGATTATTATTTTTGCTTATCTGTAATTTTATGATAAATGTGGATGTTTTGCTTATTACAAAATATTTTCTTTTTCTCGGCTTTGTTGAGAGAGAATTGACCTATAACACTGTGCAAGCTCGAGGTGTGGAGCACGTTGCTGTGATTACGACCATGGCATCATCCTTCATGCCAGTTACCACTTCTGTGATGAGAACAGTGAGATGCACTCTCTTAGCAACTTTCAAGTATAATACAGGATATTAACTATCATCACCCTCCTGTGCATTAGGTCCCAGGGCTCACTCATCTTTAAAATGGAAGTTTTACTCTTTCACCAGCAACTCATTCCCCCACCCTGCAGACCCAGGTGACCACCACGCCGCTGTTCCTGTGAATTCAGACCTCTGTGTGGATTTCACACGTCAGTGGTATCACGTACGACTTGTCCTTCACCGCCTGACTTGTGTCACTTAGGGGGACGCCCTCCAAGCCCATTCATGTTGTCACAAATAACAGGGCTTCCGTCTTTCTCATGGCAGAAGCCTGTTCGCTGTGCGCGAGGGCAGCCCTCTCTTCCGCATTCTGGTTCATTTCCTTTGGCGGCANTGTCTTTCTCATGGCAGAAGCCTGTTCGCTGTGCGTGTGCCGCCGGCAGTGAATAATGCTGCGAAAGACGCGAGGGCAGCCCTCTCTTCCGCATTCTGGTTCATTTCCTTTGGCGGCACACCCGGGGTGGCAGTCCTGGACCACGCGCTGGCTCTCTCCGTAAATTCTGAGGCCCCTCCGCACCGCCTCCCGCAGCGGCTGCACTGGCCTGCACTCGCACCGGCAGTGCCCGGCTTCCCTTTCCTTCACACCCTCGCTAACGTCTGTTATTTCTTGTCTCTTTGATGCCGTTCGTTCTGACAGGCGTGAGGTGGCTCCTCATTGTGGGTTTGATTTGCATTTCCCTGATGATCCGTGACGCTGAGCATCTTCTCGTGTACCTGCTGGCCATTTGTATTTCATCTTTGGAAACAAGTATATTCAGTTCCACTGCCCAGTTTTTGGTTTGGTTGTTTTCTGTATTAAGTTGTATGAGTTTTAATATATTTTGGATATTAATCCCTTATCGGCACATGATTTGCAGATATTTTCCCCCGTTCTATAGATTGTCTTTTCATTCAGTTGATTTTTTTGTGCAGAACCTTTAATTTTCATGTAGTCCCATATTTATTTTTTGCCTTCGTTGCTTGTGCTTTCGTTGTCATATCCAAAAAACATCACAAAGACCAATGTCAAGGAGTCTTTCTCCTGTATTTCCTTTTAGGATTTATATGCTTTCAGGTCTCATATTTGTGTCTTCAGTCTGCTGAGCTAACTTTAGTGAGGGGTGTGAGATAGGGGTCCAGCTCCGTTCTTCTGCATGTGGTTACGCAGTTTCCTAACACATTTACTGACGAGACTTTTCCCCATTGAGCAGTCTTGTCAAATACTATTCACAAGGTATTTTCTTAATCAGGAGAATGTTCCTTCAGTCACTCTTCCTCATCTCCTTCAGGAAAATTGGCCAGGTTTGTCAGCAAAGGCTTTAAAGGGGCGTGTGC